AATCTAGTTTGTGTTAGAATTGCATTTTACTAAACTAAAGGGAAATATATTGTGGGGTTAACTTTTTTGTGTTTTGATATATTCTGAGGTTTTGAAAAATACATATTGTCCCCCATAATCTATTAATATGGTAGTTAATTTCTGTCAATCTATTGTACTTCCTTTCTTTTACTAATGGGATATTATTGGATTTGAGACATGTAAAGTATGCTCCTCAAAGCAAATTAGTTGAACATATGCTTGTTTAGGTTATAAAAAATGAAAGTAGAAACTTAATGTACTTAGCATCTTGTGTTTGCAATTCTTCTCCTAAAACTATAGATTTGTAACTTGAATTTTAGTTGTTACATGTTTTTATGAAACAATGGAAAAAATATTAGCCCTATTTTGTAATTTGGTTTTAAATGCTATTAAGGTACAGAATTGTTCTTGCCTCTATTTAGGCAGATTAATTTTAAGAAGAAAAGCAGGATAGATGATGAACTTATTTGAATATATATTCTTAATATGTTATATATATTTATATTAATAAAATCAATGTATATATGCATGTGTATGTGTATGGTATATTTCCAATAGAGATGTCTGAACCTGTTGATTGCATTAAGCATTTGGTATCTCCTAATGAAGGATGGAAAAGGTGCTACTGCACTGTCTGAGTGGATCATTTCTCCTCTGTAAATTGCATACATTTTACTTTTTGTATTTTGTGACCTTGCAGTCAGTGACTTCAGCCCAGAATAGTTTCAAAGTCATGTAAATGAATGCAATTAAGGTATTGCTTATCATCTTACATAGTTCAGATGGAACCTTATTGGATAGAGAGGTTTATTTGCTTTATGAGGAAGGTCAAAATAAGGTTAAATTTTATTACATAAAATGATTTGGTAATGTCTTTATTTAGTTGCTGAAAAAGTAGTGTCCTAATAGGAAATGATAATGCTTTTTTTCCCTCAGTTGCCTGGAGGTCTCCTCAGGGTTTGTTTGTTTGTTTGTTTGTTTGTTTTTTCTCTCTAGTAGTTATGAATTCTATTTTAAGGAAATATCTTTTGTCTACTTCTAAGATTTTGAGAACATTCTGCCCTAACTTTTGATTCTAGGTATCTTTGATTTATACATAGGTGACATACCCTGCTGCTGATGGAGGGTAGCTTTGGTGTTGCTGATGTATATATAGGCTTACCTCGTTTTATTGTGTTTCACTTTATTGCTCTTCAAAGATACTGTGTTTTTTACAAGTTGAAAATTTGTGGCAACCCTGCATTGAGCAAGTCTATGGTGTCATTTTTCCAATAGCATGTGCTCACTTTATGTCTCTGTGTCACATTTTGATAATTCTCTCAATATTTCAAACTTTTCCATTGTTACTGTACCTGTTATGGTGACCTGTGATCAGTGATCTTTGATATTACTATTTCAATTGTTTTGGGGAACCGTGAACCATATAAACAAGTGAACTTAATTGATAAATGTGTGTGTTCAAACGGCATGACCACCTGGCCCTTCCCCCATCTCTCCTCCTCTTCTCAAGCCCCCCTGTTCCCTTAGACACAACAATACTGAAATTAGGTCATGTAATAACCCTATAATGGCCTCTTAAGTATTCAAATGAAAGAAAGAGTCACACCTCTCTTACTTTAAATCAAAAGCTAGAAACAATTAAGCTTGGTGAGGAAGGCATGTCATGTTGAAAGCCAAGATATGCCGAAAGCTAGGCCTCTTTCACCAAACAGTTAGTCAAGCTGTGAATGGAAAGGAAAAGTTCTCGAAGGAAATTAAAAGTGCTACTCCAGTAAATACTTAAATGATAAGAGAGCAAAGCATCCTTATTGCTGATATGGAGACAGTTTTAGTGGTCTGGATAGAAGATCAAACCAGCCACAATATTTCCTTAAGCCACAGCCTTAACTCTCTGACAGGGTAAGGCCCTAACTCTGTTCAATTCTATGAAGGCCGAAAGAGGTGAGGACGCTACCAAAGAAAAGTTAGGAGCTAGCAGAGATTGTTTTGTGAAGTCTAAGTAGAGAAACCAGCTCCCTAACATAAAATTACAAACTGAAGCAGTAAGTGCTGATGTGGAAGCTGCAGCAGGTTATCCAGAAGAGCTAGTTAAGGTCATTGATGAAGGTGGCTACACTAAACAACAGATATTCAATGTAGATAAAACAGACTTCTATTGGAAGAAGATGCCATCCAGGACTTTCATAGCTAGAGAGGAGAAGTCAGTGCCTGGCTTCAAAGCTTCAAAGGACAGACTGACTCCCTTGTTAGGGGCTAATGCAGCCAGTGACTTTAAGTGGAAGCCAATGTTTATTTACGAATGTGAAAATCCTAGGACCCTTAAGAATTATGCTAAATCTACTCTGCCTGTGCTCTGTAAATGGAACCACATAGTCTGGATGACAGCACATGTGTTTACATCATGTTTTACTGAATATTTTAAGCCCAATCTTAAGACCTACTGCTCAGAAAAAAAAGATTCCTTTCAAAATATTACTGCTTATCGACAATGAACCTGGTCACTCAAGAGCTCTCATGGAAAAAATGTGCAAGGAGATAATGTTATCTACATGACTGCTAACACAGCATTCATTCTGAAGCCCATGGATCAGGAGTAATTTTGACTTTCAAGTCTTATTATTCACATTGTGTAAGGCTGTAGCTGCCATAGATAGTGATTCCTCTGACGAATGTGGGCAAAGTCAACTGAAAACCTTCTGGAAAGGATTCTCCATTCTAGATGCCATTAACATCATTTGATTCGTAGGATGAGGTCAAAACACTAACATTAACAGGAGTTTGGAAGAAGTTGATTCCAACCCTTGCAGATGACTTTGAGGGGTTTGGACTTCAGTGGAGGAAACAACTGCAGACGAGGTAGAAATACCAAGAGAACTAGAATTAGAAGTGGAGCCAGAAGATGTGACTGAATCGCTGCAATCTCATGATGAAACTTCAATGGATGAGCAGTTGCTTCTTATGGATGAGCAAAGAAAGTGTTTTCTTGAGGGGGAATCTATTCCTAGTGAAGATTCTGTGAACATCGTTGAAATAACAACAAAGGATTTAGAATATTCCATAAACTTAGTTGAAAATGCAGTCCCAGTATTTGAGAGGACTGACTCCAATTTTGAAAGAAGTTCTATTGTGGACAAAATGCTATCAAATAGCATTGCATACTACAGAGAAATGTTTCATAAAGAGAAGAGTAAACTGGTGGGGCAAAATTCATTATTGTCTTATTTTAAGAAATCACCACAGCCACCCCAGTCTTTAGCAGCCACCATCGTGATCAGTCAGCAGTCATCAGTGTGGAGGCAAGACCCTACCTACATCAGCAAAAAGATTACGATTTGCTGAAGGCTCAGAGCATTGTTAGCATTTTTTAGCAATAAAGTATTTTAAAATTAAGATATGTACATTGTTTATGTACATGTTTATGTACAGATATGTACATTGTTTATGTACAAGTGCACAATGCTATTGTGCACTTAATAGACTACAGTATAGTATAAATACAACTTTTATATGCACCGGGAAACCAAAAAATCTGTGTTACTTTATTGCAGTATTCACTTTACTGTAGTGGTCTGGAACAGTTCTGGTGATACCTCTGAGGTATGCCTGAATATGTATTAATGTCTAAGTACCATGCCAGTTGGTACAGGACCTGAGACAGTGGCACTAGCGTCCTAGCCGACCTGGGCAGAAAAGAGACATCCTCCCAGCCTAGCTGATTGTGGGAGTTGGGAGAACATTGACATAGACACTGGAAGAGTCTTACTGATGAAGAACTGAGAGTGAGTGACTGAGTGAGTGTGTCTGTGTGTGTGTAGTAAATAAAAGAAAGGCACGTATTTTTCATTGTATTTGGTCCATATAACTACTTTCCTTTTATATTATTTTTACTTAAGCATGGTATGTCAATTGATCAAGGCTCTAAGATTCATTGATTTCATTTTGCAGACATTTCCTGAGTACTAGCTGTATACCTCGTACCATGCTAGGCACTGGGGGATTCAAAGATGAATGAAGGGCCCACAAGCACAGGGAAAGTAGCGATAAGGAAGACAGAGATAAAGTGGCCTAGAGGTGTAGTGGTGAAGTGCCTGCTTGGCTAGGATGCTGGGGAAGCATCACTCTAAGAAATTTGGTACCTGTATATATCTATTTAAGGAGACTGAAGGGCCCTGGTAAAATGACGTGATAATGAAAAGTAACTATTTTGGGAGGTTAGAATTCAGATTTATTTTTAGTCAAGGTTGTAATCCTTGAGAACTGATCATAGGTTATGGGCTAGGAATTGAGAGCTCTAGAAATGTAAGTCAGATGTGAGTACAGAGGCTGGTAGAGACAAATGGAACGCTGCATCACACCTCCCTTATCACCAGCTAGCTTCCCTAGCCATGCCCTGTTGACCAGAATAAAGCTTCCTCAGCCACCACAGTATTAAATTATATGCGGTGTCTTTTGCTGGCTAAAAACTTGTACCCATCTTTTGTTCCTGAAAGTGTAAACTTTCCCACATGTCAATGTCGTTCCATATCTAGAATGGTTTTAACTCAGAGTTTAACATTTTCTGTTCCTAGTGGTCTGGAAAAGAAATGAAGTGTTTTAAACTTTGCGGTGACCATCAGATAATTCTAATACTTTTTCTCCCAGCATCCTTGATTGAAATTCCCGTTTCATTGTCATTTCCTTGACATTAACTTTCACACCTTTGAGAATAGGCACCACCGTATTTGCAGTAGTGTAAAAACATATAGGTGTGTTTTGGTAAATGATTACGAAATGCAAGTTGTTTCATCAGATGTGGTCAACAGCTATGCCAGGAAAGCATGCGTCATTGCGAATACTTTTTACCCTGCAGTACATCTTTTTTGTTGTTTTTCAAGATGATTTATTTTAGTCAATAGTTAAAATTCCATTGTAAAACATTCTATTGAAATTCTTTGAGATAAGATGCGCTTGAAGTAATACTTATTTCTCTTAATTTTCAGGGAGTGTTTGGATTGTGAGCAATTTCAGAACTCTGTTCTCAGGACCCATGATTTTAACATTTGGGAGAAACACATCCAGAAGGTATTGTATTTTTGTCTCATTGCTCCATTTATTTAAATGTAATCAAGCCTTTCCAATTATAGGAAAGTAAGATTATTATGCCATATTGGTGTTGTTTATTTTTCTTTAACTTTCAGATTTTGTTTTTTAGAGACAGGGTCTCGCTTTGTCCCAGGCTGGATTGCAGTAGTGCAGTCATAGCTCACTATACCTTAAACTCCTGGGCTCAAGTGATCCTCCTGCCTTGGCCTCCCGAGTGGCTGGAACTACAGGCACGTACTACCATACTAGCTAATTTTTTTTGTTTGTTTAATTTTTTGTAGAGATGACATATCACTATCTGTGTTGCCCAGGCTGATCTTGAACTCCTGGCTTCAAGTGATCCTTCTACCTTGGCTTCCCAAAGTGCTGAGATTATAGGCATGAGCCACTGTGCCCTGCTGACTTTCAGATATTGATAAACTAGTTTGACATTTCTAACCAAGAAGAGAGGTATATTTCAATCTTGATAAATCTCAATTTTATGTAAGTGAATAGAAAACCTGGTTTAGATTAAACCAGTTTTGTGTATTTTAAACACTGAGATATTTACATTTTACCTTTTTAGTATAGAACTATTTTAAAGAATGTTTTGATTTGAAAATGAGATGCATAAAGTTCTTCTTTATCTAAGACAGTGTGAAGTATACAGTAAACATTCAGGCAGTCTTAAAGTCCTTCCTGCCTATGACAGCTCTGCCTTCTAGTGTACAGATGAGCTGTCATCTGTGTTTCCATCAGTCTGTTATCAGAATTCATTACTCAAACAGGCCACCTGGCTCTGCCTCTGAATGTCCATTTACTAAGTTCTCTCTTTGCATTATCATATGTGGTTACATTGGTATAGTATAGTAATTTATCTGCTTGTAGACCCAGAGTGTCAGGATGTGTGACATATTACTAGGAAGGAAAGATATTAAGATCATCAGGCTGGGCACGGTGGCTCACGCCTATAATCCTAGCAATCCTAGCACTGAGGCTGAGGCAGGAGGATCACTTGAGGTCAGGAGTTTGAGACCAGCCTGAGCAAGAGCAAGACCCTGTCTCTACTAAAAATAAAAACAATTAGCCAGGTGTGGCTATAGTCCAGCTACTTAGGAGGCTGAGGCAGGAGGATCACTTGAGCCTGGGAGTTTGAGGTTGCAGTCAGCTGTGATGACACCACTGCACTCTAGCCGGGTGACAGAGCTAGATTCTGTCTCAAAAAGAAAAAAAAAAAAAAGAAGATCATCAGTCGGGAAACTTACCTACTTTGTGCTTTGTCTTTTGTACCTTATCTTAATCTGTTTGGGCTGCTATGACAAAATGCCATAACTTGGTGGCTTATAAACAACAGAAGTTTATTTCTCACGGCTCTGGAGGCTGGGAAATCCAAGATCAAGGTGCCAGCAGATTTAGGGTCTAGTGAGGGCCCATAGATGGCCATCTTCTCACTGTAATCTCACATGGTAGAAGGGGCTTCTGGGCCTCTTCTATAAGGGCACTAATTCCATTCGTGAGAGTATCACCCTCATGACCTAATCACCTCCTAATTGTCTCACCACCAAGTACCCTCACATTGGGGGTCAGGTTTCAATTTATGAATTTCAGGATGGGGCACAAACATTCAGACTGTAGTACACTCCATAGACCCCAAGTGAAGTGGATATGCTGGTTGATTTGACTAAAGTCAGTGGTGAACAAATTCCCCTTGGTCCATATCCAAGATTTCCTTCTTAATGTTCATCTTTATACCTCTCCTGTATTTTGTATTTTCCCTTTTAAAAATTTTTACCATCTGACTTGCTTAGAGTGGAAACACATAAAGAAAGGATATATAAATATATTTAATAAAATAATATATTTTTTAAAGTTGTAATGAATAGGCCAACTTCTTTGAATACATATTTACTTTATTAACGGAATATTCTTGATTTACACTCACATGAATAGCACAAAAATCAGTTTTACAAATTTTCTTAATCACTGTCAAGCACTGTGAATTTCTGAGATTGGATGAATATAGTCTTTTATGTTTTCCCAGAACATTATATTAAACTTTTAAAATAGAAACTGTTTTATGTTTGAGATTTATTAGTAAAGCAGCATTTTCTTCCTTTTCTTGTCTGTTATGGGGGGAAGGCAAAAGCAAATAAGAAATTTAAATTAGCAAATTAGGACTGTAAAAGAATATTTAAATGAACCCCAAATATTAGTTAAATTTATTATGTATTAGTAAAAAGAATTATGTGTTCAGAAACTTTGGATTTTATGGAATTCAGAGTTGTCTTTTTAGATTGAAGATAGAATTAACTATTTCAGTTAAATATTTGGAGATATAAACATTCAAGCTTAGTTATAAAGGGAAATGATACACTTTTAAAGCCATCATGAATTACCCATTCATGAAAGTTTATCATATAATGTCAAAATGAAGAGTACATTTGAATAGAGTTGAACTAGTTACTTTTTGTTAAAAAGAAATGACAAATAAATTAAAAGTTTAGTTGAATGATTAAGTAGACAAATTCTCCTGTAAATTCAGAAAAGGAATTAGTTTTAAATAATTCTTTCGATAAGAAATCATAATGTGTAAGGTCCTTTTAAAAAAAAGTTTCTTATTTTATGGAAAACCTCTTTACTGAAATATAATTTAACATAATCAAGTAGACATTGTTAGGTCGATTGTTTTTTTATATAAGTTATATCCTGTGTAACTAACACCCTACCCTTGAAGGCTTACTGTATTTGTGTATTTTCTAACAGATACTACCTCTACCAACAGAAAATAATCTTTGACATCTTTTAGCATAGATTAGTTTTGCCTGTTTTTGAACTTTATAAAATTGTGAACTCTTTTGTGCCCGATTTTTTTATCATCATTTTGTCATTGTGTCATTCACGTTGTATATATCATTTATTTTTTCCTCCCACGTCGTCTGTATCCCATTGTTTGATTATACCACCATTTATCCATTCTACTATAAATCAACATTGACTGTCTTTCCAGTTTGTAGCTACAAATAAGGCCGCTGTGAACTCGTTTGTATCCTTTGGTAGATATAAGCATTCATTTCTGATGAGTACAGTGTATGCACAGGAGTGGAGCTGCTGAGTTGTGGAGTATGCATGTGTTTAGAGTAATAGAGTGCTTTTAAAGATATTTAGGAAATGTCAGTGTATGTTTTACTAATGATAGATTTTATTGTAAGATAGACTTTTTTTTCTTCAACTTTATATAAACTCTAAAGTTGTTTTTTAGAGTTATTTAAATTTTCACTTATGTTAAGAAAATAAATTGCCTATTTTCTGATTCCATTATAATATGTATTTGGTTCACAAAACCAGGATCTGTTCTAGCCCTAGTGAAGGAAAATAGGACACGAAACCTTCTTATACATACTTATGATTGTGGAAATACTGAAAATGGATTTTAAAGCAAATCAGACAAAACATAATGACAACTTTATTTGTTGAATGTTTAAATACGTCCTTGAATATTTAAAGTAGTAGATATTCTTGAGTTACAAAAAATGTATTTTAGCATTTCTGATAAATATTTCTTGTGTCCTTTGACTGTGTTTTTTATTACTCTGGTGATTAAAAGTGAAATTATTCATTCTAGGATATAAGTATTTGAGAAATTCTATGTTAATCTTTTTCTGGGTCTTTCCTGTAGAGCAGTGCTGCCCTGTAGAAGTATAATGGAGGCTATGTTATCTAACTTTAAATTTGAAATTTTCTGGTAGCCACATTAAAAAAGGAGAAAGAAAGGGTACAATTAATAATATATTATATTTACCCAAATATATGCAAAATACTACCCTTTCAATGAATAACCAACATAAAATTATGAGATGTTTTATATTCTTTCTCACTAAATTTTTGAAATCTGGTATGTATTTTCACTTATAGACCATCTCAGTTCTAACTAGTCATCTTTCAAGTGCTCAGTAGCCACATGTCCCCAGTGGTTGCTATATTGGACAGCTCAGCTATAGAGTTACATCTTGGGTTTTTTAAAGGTAATGCTTTAGTCAAATTCACATCTAGTTAAAATTAGCCTTAAAAATCCAATAAAAAGATGCCGTGTCAGATGCTGATATACCATCTTTAAGTAGGTCTCAAACAGCCTATTTTTCCTCCAGTGTTAGAATAAATGACATTTTCTTTGGTTGAATATCAGATAAAGCAATTAGTCAGTATTTAGTGGGCATGTCGAATGACAAATATGTATCTTTAAACTGTAAAATCAAAATGTGTAACAGTAGATTCACATCTTCCATCTTACTCCAGGTTCTATATAAGGTAGAATTTTACTTTTGATGGGAGTTGTTTTCTTTTTTTTAAAAAAAATCATAGCTGGTTTAATTTGAATATGGTAAATTGCCATATGATATAACTGTACTATATCCTGAATAAAATATATTTGATATATGTATCTATACTGCGGTTCCCACCCCCCACCCAGACTTCCATGGAAAAATAAAATTGTCTTCCATGAAACTTGGGGGCAGGGTACACAGCAGGGGGTGAGCAGCTGACTAGCAGGGAAGCTTCATCTGTATTTATAGCCTTATAATCCCCATCACTTTCATCGCTGCCTGAGCTCCTCCACCCCACCCCCTCAATCCATGGAAAAATTATCTTCCATGAGAATGGCCCCTGGTGCCAGAAAGGTTGGGGACCGCTGCCTATAGATATACCTAGGCCTTTTCATTTATTAGGATATTTAAAGCCTACCTGGATTTTGAGGATTAATATTTCTTCATGTATATTCTTGCCAAGTAGGATAAGTCAAGACCATAGCTATCTTACATGAATGTAGGTCAAATTTTGCCACTAGATTGGTTTTTTAAAGCTTTTTGCTGTTCAAAATTGGGAGTGTGGATAAAGGCCTACCTACCTGTGAAAATGGTCGGTATAGAAGGTTGCTGTGGGGGTAAAGCTTTGTGAGCAATAGTTGGCACAATCACACATGTTAGCAATTGTTTTGAGTCCTG